TAAAATACAGAGGAAAACATTTTGATGTACCGTGAGATCAAAGACTATAAAACTGCGTAGCTCAGATGAAAATATTTACATCGCGGCTGAAAACACGTTCAACATTTGAAAGCTTATGAATATTTTCTTAGCGTAAAGAACTTCTGTTCATTCAGTAGTGAGCCGCAACAACCTGAGAGCTAAAGGGCTTAATGAGTAATGAATTAATGACTTGAAAAAGGGGTCGCGCCACGCTATTTGATAATAGCTCTTTTTCAGTGAAATTCCTTGCGCAACGGTCTAGACTGAACTGCATTTTTTCCAGACTGACAGCAGATTTCGTCTTGCAAGCACGTGGTCGAAAAATGAGGAAGCAGAACAAGTTACAGAAAAATAAAACCCAATCATATGGGTTTACTAGCATGCGCTACTTATTGATACCGCCGCTTATATGTAATCCATTTCAGTTTTCGATACTGGATTGAAGCGGCGTAAGCACCGTCCCCTTGCTTCTAGTGACCTTGGGAATATGTAAGCAGGCCACGGCTCCATGGTATTTGAGTAGCTGCAGTGCATGGATGCAAAACCGCATCACTAGACAGGGCCGAATAAAGGCCTGTTCAGACACCTGCAAATATGCCACGATCTGTAGATATATTACAGAAAAATAATGCGGTATCGAAAACTGAAATAGATTGCATATCTTGGCGGCGGTATCAATAACTAGCGCTATGCTAGTAAGCCCATAAGATCGTGTGTTTAAGCAAGGAGACTGTGCTTACGCTGCTGAAATCCGGCGTCGTAAACTGAAATGGATCAGAACAAGTTACGTTTACCTTCTGTAACGCCCCAACCGGTAACAACGCATAATTGGCCCGGATAGACGCTGCGTTCAGGTAAACACGCCAGCTGTACTTTCTTGGTCAGCCTGACCGTCTCACTCAATGTCAATATGGCGATATCGTTGCTAACTGATGCCGGCTGCCCAAATTCTGGATGAATCGTCACGTTGCTCAAACGACGTATTAAGTACGATGTTGTTGAAAAGTCATGCAGGCCAAGGGCTATGCGATAGTCGTTGATATCCATCCTGAAATGTACATAGAAAAAGCATTTTATGCAGTGCACACTTATTACGCAAACTGTTTTAGCAATTTTCTTGAAAATTTCTGGACTTGCATGTCGTATTCAAACCTTCTCCTTGCCCCTGTGCTTCTAGTAGCCT